TGACAGGCAGAGTGGACAGTGAGAGAGAGAGACAGAGAGAAAGGTCTTCCTGTGCGGTTAGTTCACCCTCCAATGGCCGCCGCGGTCGGCGCGCTGCGGCCGGCGCACCGCGCTGATCCGATGGCAGGAGCCAGGAGCCAGGTGCTTTTTCCTGGTCTCCCATGGGGTGCAGGGCCCAAGCACCTGGGCCATCCTCCACTACACTCCCTGGCCACAGCAGAGGGCTGGCCTGGAAGAGGGGCAACCGGGACAGAATCCGGCGCCCCGACCGGGACTAGAACCCGGTGTGCCGGCGCCGCTAGGCGGAGGATTAGCCTAGTGAGCCGCGGCGCCGGCCTATGATATTCTTTCTTAAATATAGTGTGTTCATTGTTGACAGACCTACAGAGTAAAATTTCTACTCTAGTTATGTCTGACTGTAGAGATCATCCTTGGTTCTTTCTCATTTCTATCCATTTAATATTATATTGCCATCTCAAAATTCCCCAGATTCTGGATTCTCACAGGTGGCATTCTTTGTAGAGGAGGTGGTAAAGTTTATTCCTGATACCCTCATGTAGTTATTTATAGCTGTTGTTGGCTGGAGCCTCGGCTCACTAGGCTAATCCTCCGCCTTGTGGCACCGGCACACTGGGTTCTAGTCCTGGTTGGGGTGCCGGATTCTTTCCCGGTTGCCCCTCTTCCAGGCCAGCTCTCTGCTGTGGCCAGGGAGTGCAGTGGAGGATGGCCCAAGTGCTTGGGCCCTGCACCCCTTGGGAGACCAGGAGAAGCACCTGGCTCCTGCCTTCGGATCAGCGCGGTGCGCCAGCCGCGGCGGCCATTGGAGGGTGAACCAACGGCAAAAGGAAGACCTTTCTCTCTCTCTCTCTCTCTCTCACTATGCACTCTGCCTGTCAAAAAATAAAAATAAATAAATAAAAATAAAAATATTTATAGCTGTTGCCCAGTTTTACAACTTGAACAAAGACAGGACTGGTAAATAATAAAAGGCAACTTTTTGATATTCTGGTAGTGTCTTAGAGATAATTTTTTTTTTTGACAGGCAGAGTGGACAGTGAGAGAGAGAGACAGAGAGAAAGGTCTTCCTTTGCCGTTGGTTCACCCTCCAGTGGCCGCCGCGGCCGGCGCGCTGCGGCTGGCGCACCGTGCTGATCCAATGGCAGGAGTCAGGTACTTACCCTGGTCTCCCATGGGGTGCAGGGCCCAAGCACTTGGGCCATCCTCCACTGCACTCCCTGGCCACAGCAGAGAGCTGGCCTGGAAGAGGGGCAACCGGGACAGAATCTGGTGCCCTGACCGGGACTAGAACCCGGTGTGCCGGTGCCACAAGGCGGAGGATTAGCCTAGTGAGCCGCGGAGCCGGCTCGAGATAAATATTTTTAAAATTTTTTTATTTTATTTATTTGAGTTACAGAGAGAGGTAGAGACAGAAAGAGAGGTCTTCTATCCACTGGTTCACTCCCCAAATAGCCAGAATGGCCAGAGCTGAGCTGATCCAAAGCCAGGATCCAGGAGCTTCCTCTGGGTCTGCCACGTGGGTGCAGGGTACCAAGGACTTGGACCATCCTCCACTGCTTTCCCAGGCATATTAGCAGGAAGCTGGATCAGAAGTAGAGCAGCTGAGACTTGAACTGGCGCCCACATGGGATGCCACTGCAGGCAGTGGCTTTACCTGCTGCACCACAGTGCTAGCCCGAGATAAACAACTATTAAAAAAGGAAGAAAAGCCGGCACCGCGGCTCAATAGGCTAATCCTCCGCCTGCGGCGCCGGCACACCAAGTTGTAGTCCCAGTCAGGGTGCCGGATTCTGTCCCGGTTGCCCCTCTTCCAGGCCAGCTCTCTGCTATGGCCTGGGAGTGCAGTGGAGGATGGCCCAAGTCCTTGGGGCCTGCACTCCATGGGAGACCAGGAGAAGCACTTGGCTCCTGGCCTCGGATCACCGCGGCGGCCATTGGAGGGTGGACCAACGGCAAAAAGGAAGACCTTTCTCTCTGTCTCTCTCTCTCTCACTATCCACTCTGTCAAAAAAAAAAAAAAAGGGGGGGGGGGGAAGAAAAGTCATTTTTAGAAATACACAAAAAACCAAAAAGTGGCTACCAAAAAGTATAAAAGACACCAATAATTTACTCTGGAATGTGAGTAGTTGGAAACACTTTTATTCAGTTTGCCCAAAAGTTACATGCTTAAAGTATTTATTTATTTATTTATTATTTCTATCTGTGATTTAAGTTAGAAAATTTCTTTTTAGATCATAGAAGTTCTGTGTCCATAGTGCCCAAGAAGATTTTGTGTTATATGTGGTATAGAACTCTGAGCTAAAAGAACAGCTTTCCCATCTTGTATTTTTCTTCACACCACAAAATTTGAGACTTTGGTACTTCCATGAAATTAGAAGGTACAGTGAGCCAAAACACTTGCTTTCCTGGGCACAAGATTAGCATGTGCTTGTGGGTTTCCAGACAAGGAAGGAGAGAGTGTGACAAAACAGGCCAATAAGGGAGTTTTGTGGTTGTTAATATGTGAGCCAGCAAAACAAAGCATTGGAGTATCTTCTAAAACTTATGAGAAAATCGTGCTAATTAGATAGATCAGTAGTTAAAAGAATTTTCCTACAATGACACCCCCTTTTTTCAGCTAAGTATTATACAGAACTTTAGTATATAGACAGAAAATTGAGACCAGTATGAGTTAAGTGAGGTAATAGGCCAGAGCCCTGCTGGTTCTGCTTTCCTAGCACCTTCTCCATTAGGTAGCTTTTTACACTTTTTTTTTTTTAAGATTTATTTATTTATTTGAAATCAGAGTTACACAATGAAAGGGGGGGGGGAGGGAGAGAGAGAGAGGGAGGCAGATATCTTCCATCCACTGATTCACTCTCCAAATGACTGCAACAGATGGAGCTGGGCCATGTCAAAGCCAGGAGTCAGGAGCTTTTTCTAGGTCTCCCACATGGGTACAGGGGCCTGAGCATGTGGGCCATCTTTTGCTGCTTTCCCAGGCACATTGGCAGGGAGCTGGATTGGAAGTAGAGCAGCTGGATCTTGAACTGACACCAATATGAGATTCTGGCATCACAGGTGGCAGCAGCTTTACCTGCTTCACCACAATACTTGGCCCCTTCTTAAACTATTTGGAATTTCTGTGGAACATCTTAAAAACCATTAATCTGGGGCCAGTGCTGTGGCATAGTAAGTAAAGTGGCCGCCTACAGTGCCGGCAATCCCATGTGAGCACCAGTTTGTGTCCCAGCTGCTCCACTTCAATCTAGCTCTCTGCTATGACCTGGGAAAGCAGTGGAAGATGGCCCTGCACCAGCGTGGGAGACCCAGAGGACGCCCCTGGCTCCTGGCTTCGGATCCGGATCAGCCCTGGCCATTGCGGCCATCTGGGGAGTGATCCAGCAGATAGTAGACCTCTCTCTCTCTCTATCTTTCTACCTCTGCCTCTTTATAAATCTGCCTTTCAAATAAAATAAGTAAATCTTAAAAAAAATTGAACTGATGTTTCTTAAAGGTTTAAGTGCATACAGATCACCTGAAAATCTTGCTAAATATGGATTCTGGTTCATTAGGCCTGAGATAGAGCCCGAGAATCTGTATTTCTAGCAAATTCCCAGTTAATGCTGATGCTATAGGTCCAGACCACATTTTTTCTTTTAAAGATTTACTTATTTATCTGAAAGTCAGAGTTACACAGTTATGCAGAGAGAGAAGGAGAGGCAGAGAGAGAGACAGAGAGAGGTCTTCCATCCGATGGTTCAATCCCCAATTGGCCGCAACAGCTGGAGCTGCACCAATCTGAAGCCAGGAGCCAGGAGCCAGGAGCTTCTTTCTGGTCTCCCACGTGGGTGCAGGGGCCCAAGGACTTGGGCCATCTTCTACTGCTTTCCCTGGCTATAGCAGAGAATTAGGTCAGAAATAGAGCAGCCAGGTCTCGAACCAGCGCCCATGTGGAATGCCAGCACTGCAGGCCCCCAGAGCATATTTTTAGGAGCTAGTATTATCTAGTATGGTGTTAGGTAACCTATGACTCTAGTCTTTTGGTGGTGTTTTCACATCTCCTAAACCCTGGCATGATACTCTGCATCCACAAAATTTAGTCGAAGAAATTAGCTTAAGAGTTCTGTCTAGGTATATTGGTAGTAAAAGAGTACTTTGGGCCAGTGACGTGGCTCACTTGGTTAATCCTCCACCTGCGGCACCGGCATCCCATATGGGCACCGGGTTCTAGTACCGGTTGCTCCTCTTCCAGTCTAGCTCTCTGCTGTGGCCCAGTAGGGCAGTGGAGGATGGCCCAGGTGCTTGGGCCCCTGCACCCGCATGGGAGACCAGCAAGAAGCACCTGGCTCCTGGCTTCGGATTGGCACAGCTCCGGCCGTGGCAGCCATTTGGGGAGTGAACCAACGGAAGGAAGACCTTTCTCTCTCTCTCACTGTCTATAAATCTACCTGTCAAACAAATTTTTAAAATAATAAAAAAATAAAAATTAAAAAACTGATACTTTGGGTCTGTGTTGTGGCATAGTATGTTAAGCCTCTGTCTGCGATGCTGGCATCCTCAGCTCCCTGTTAATGTGCCTGGGAAGGCACCAGATGATGGCCCAAGTCCTTAGGCCCCTGCACCCATGTAGGAAACCTGGAAGAAACTTTGAGCTCCTAGCTTTGGCCCTGCCCAGCCCCAGATGTTGCGGCCATTTGAGGAGTGAACCAGTGGATGGAAGATATCTCTCTGTCCCTCTCTCTCTCTCTCTCTCTCTGCATTTCAAAGAAATAAAAAATAAATCTTAAAAGAAATGAAAGGGTATTTCAAAAACCTTGAAGAGGGGGTTGGCTTTGTGGCATCCCATCCAGGTTCCTGTTTGAGTCCCAGCTGCTCCAATTCCAGTTCAACTCCCTGCTAATGTGCTTGGGAAAGCAGGGAGATGGCCCAAGTCCTTGGGCCCCTGCTCCCCGGTGAGAGACCCAGAGGAGGCTCCTGGCTCCTGGCTAGCCTAGCCCTGGCCGTTGTAGCCATTTGGAGAGTGAACCAGCAAGTGGGAGATCTCTGTCTCTCCCTCTTTATCTCTAAACAAACAGTGCCTTTCAAATAAATAAAATAAATCATTAAAAAAAATTGGTGGCCATCACTGTGGTGTAGTGGGCTAAGCCTCTGCGTACGGCGCTGGCATCCCATATGGGCACCAGTTCGAGTCCTGGCTGCTCTTCTTCTGGTCCAGCTCTCTACTATGGCCTGGAAAAGCAGTGGAAGATAGCCCAAGTGCTTGGGCCCCTGCCACCTGTGCACATGAGAGATCCAGAAGAAGCTCCTGGCTCCCGGCTTCAGATCAGCTCAGCTCTGGCCATTGCTGCCATTTGGGGAATGCACCAGCAGATGGAAGACCTTTCTCTCTGCCTCTCCTCTCTCTGTCTGTAGCTCGTACCTCTCAAATAAATAAATGAAATCTTTTTAAAATTTTGTGGAAAATGAAAACAAAAGTAATTATTTGGATGCAGTTTTTTTTTTTTTCAAATCTACATAATTTTTTTCATACTAAGCAGTTTCCATTGATCTTTTCCAGGACTACTCTGTGCGTGGATTTCAAAATTTTTTTCCACCAAAACAGGCTTTTCTTTCAATTCCATTTCCATGAACTTTTTGAAGTATCCTCATATCACCCCTTGATTAGAGGCTAATAAAGCTGCTATGTCCCTGGGGAAAGAGATAGGAAAAGTTCCACAAATTAGACATAGATCTATTCTTGTACTTTATGGTTATTGTCTTTTTCTCTAAGCAGTCTATAATCCATTTCCAAATGTGTTTCTCATCCTTGTCTAATCTTGCTTTTTCCAAGTCCGTTCTATTTACTGGTACTTTCTCTTTCCTCAGGGATGACCTGACTGATGATTCTGTCTTCACTAGAAGCTCCCAATGCTCTCGTGGTCTTGAGCGATACATTTCCCGGGAAGAGAGACCTCTCAGTCCCTTCTTGGAACAACTTGATGACTACCGAACGAGAGAAACTTTCCTGCATCGATCTGATTATAGTCCCCATATCAGTTGTCATGATGAGCTCTTGCGGGGTACAGAACGGAACAGAGACAAACTCAAAGGCTCGTACTCTGTACGATCTGAGGAAAGGAACCGGGAGGCCAAAAGGCCCCGTTATGATGACACTGAGAAGATACACAGCGTGGGAGGGGAGCACCCAAGTTTTACATCAGGGACTCGGAACTATCGACAACGGAGACGAAGCCCAAGTCCTAGGTTTCTAGACCCCGAGTTTCGAGAGCTGGACCTTGCCAGGCGAAAACGAGAGGAAGAGGAGGAACGGAGTAGGAGCTTGAGTCAGGAACTGGTGGGAGTGGATGGCGGCGACACTGGTTGTTCCATCCCTGGATTGTCAGGTGTCCTGACGGCAGCAGAGCCAGGGTATTCTTTGCATCGGCCTGAGGAAGTATCTGTGATGCCCAAGAAATCCATTCTGAAGAAGCGGATTGAGGTAGACGTGGAGCCTTCTATGCAGGTCTCTGTTGAATTTCTTCTAGAGTCTCTTGCTAGTCCCTTTGATATCTTAAAGCCTGGTTACTTTTCTTGGAGCTGTGTCCCTAATGTTATCTTTGTAATAAATACTGGACCAACATTGTTATGTCAGTGAAATATATCTTCTAAGGCTCCCCAAACAAAACTATAGGCCTCATAATGTGTCAGTAGAGCTCTTCTCTTGCCATATATTAGGTTTTTTAGGCAAATGTTTCAAAGAGTATCTGTTCTTTTTTCATTAAATTTTGGATAGCCCTGAAAGGAATCTTTGAATATGGGTTTCTTAGAAATGAAGTGTGAAGGGCAAGGGTAGGAGTTGACCTGAATTTTCTCATCTGTTTTTAGAAAGAAGACAAAGTATATGAATTGCAGGACATTAAACCAGAAATCAGATGCTTCTGATTTCCGACCCACCTCTGCTACCAACTTGCTGTGTGGGTTTTAGACAGATCACCTCACCATTCTGGGTCTTGATATTTTTTCCTTTGTATGAAAAGGTGACCAGGCAGGTCCACTAGTTTTTAGCCATCCTCTTAGGAGCTTAAAGCTTCAGAAAAAGGTCCCTAGAGAAGTCAGGAGGAGCTGGTGAATTAGGAGTCCACAGTTTCTGTCCCCATTGTAAAGCAGCTCCATTTTTATGCTTTTTTTGTGGGGACCCATAGAAAAGAAAACAAGCCAGGGATCTCTAAAATCATGTTTTATTCAAATTCCTTGATGAAGACTATGGTAAATGAGCAAAGGTGAGGATTCTATCCAATCTGCCTCACTTCTGGTTTCTCCTTGGTACAGCAGAGAGATGTGCAGAAATCTTGAACCTGGCTAACGATAGTCTTCTCCCTTATATCTAGACTGATATATATATATATATATATCCTCTATTAATTCAGGAAAAACAGTTTTTCCTTGTGTTCTGAAATTCTGTGTAGGAGCTAAATTAGTTGTTTGTCTTTGCAGCTTGAGAATTTTTCCAGCACTACCAGCTCCAGCCAGGATCACCCTCTCTACTCTTCACACCCATCTCTTCCACTGAGTGGTGCTATTGCTGCTTTTGCCTCAGAGATTGAGAACAAGGGAACTATGGCAGAGACTGCCTTGAAAGAACCTCATGGCAACCTCTACCAATGGGGTACCCTTTCTGGGATGCCCAAAGACAGCAGTCCTCACAGAGAAAATTTTGGAAGTTTTTTATGCCGCAAGGAGAAATTGGATTTGAAGGCTGAGGGACCTGAACGACACACAGACTTTTTGCTGCCCCATGAGAGAGCCAGCGAGGATGGTAGTGGTTTTTCCCGCATTCTGAGCATGTTAGCTGATTCTACCAGTACACAAGAAAAAAGGCGACGTAGCTTCCCTGACATTGAGGATGAGGAGAAATTTCTCTATGGCGATGAAGAAGAGGATTTAAAGTCAGAGTCCCCACCAAAGCCCCTTGGGGGCTCTGAGAGTGAAATTATGAGGCAGAAGGCAAGCTCCCTACCCTCTTCAGCTCCAACCATAAAGCTAGAATCTCTAGAAGAGACTAATCCAGAATATGCCAAGATTCATGATTTACTGAAGACCATAGGGCTAGACATTGGTGTGGCAGAGATCAGTAAACTGGCTGCGCGTACCCAGGAACGACTTCATGGCAAAAAACCATCATCACGCTCTTCAGCTGACCGCCGTTCCTCAGTTGACCAGCACTTCTCATCTGACCGCCGTTCCTCAGTTGACCAGCACTTCTCATCTGACCGCCGTTCCTCAGATCCCCACAGACTGGAGAGTAGGGAGGCACACCATAGCAATACGCACTCTCCAGAGGTGTCCCATCCGCACCCAGCCTCCCCTGTGGATCCTTACCTGCTCACACAAAATAGCCCTCCATTCCTAAAATCTGACCATCCAGTGGGTCATATTTCAAGACCAGACATGGTTGGCAGTGGGTTTCAGTCATCTGTTACAGTCAGGTGCTTGTTGCCATCAGCCCCATCTACCCCAATTAGACTTCCACATTCTGCTTCTTTATCTCAGTTTCATATGCCAAGGGCCTCTCAGTTTGCTGCAGCCCGGATACCTTCAAACTACCAGGGACCTGCCATTCCCCCTACTTCCTTTGATGCCTATAGGCACTATATGGCATATGCAGCCTCAAGATGGCCCATGTACCCCACCTCCCAACCATCAAACCACCCTCTATCTGAACCACACAGGATAATGCCAGTAACCAAACAAGCTACTCGTAGTCGTCCCAATCTCCGTGTGATCCCCACTGTGACTCCTCACGAACCCAAACAAGAGGAGTCAGTGCTAGGCTCAATTCCTGTTGCCCAAGTGCCTGTCCAGATGTCCATCCCTTCACTCATAAGATATAATCCAGAGAAGATCTCTGATGAGAAAAACCGTGCATCCCAGAAGCAGAAGGTAAATATTTGCTTTGGACATTCTGTGTCTATTTTAACATAAATTTATATTTATCTTTTAGAGGGGATTGAAAATTTATAAGGCCCTGTCACTTTTCACCCTTTCAAGTTTGCTGTCATCACCCTGAGTACTGTGTATAGCTCCTCTGTTCTTGCATGTTCTGCCACTACAGCTAAAAGAAAGTCTGACCCTATGTCCCACTGTGATTACCAGGCTTTTAAATATTTTTAATTTATTTGAGAGGTGGAGAGAGAGAGCTCCCAACCACTGGTTTACTACCCAAATGCCCATAATAGACAGTTGGGCCAGGTGAAGGCTGGGAGCCAGGACTCAATCCAGATCTCCCACATGGGTGCCAAGGACTCAGCCACCTATTGCCTTCTAAGGTGTGCGATAACAGGAAGCTGGAATAAAGAGCAGAGCTGAGGCTTAAACCCAGGCTCTCCAAAATGGGATGCAGGTGGCATCTTGGCCACTTCCCCAAATGCTCATGCCCTCCCTACATTATTAAGGTTTATTTCTCTATATTAATTGTCTTAGACCACTCTAGGTAGGAACTAGAAGATTTGAAGTTTTCAAATGACTTCTATAGAGGATAGAAAACAAAAATTGAGTTGGGTGAAGGAGAATCAATAAATCTGTTTTATCCCAGTGAATTGTGGATCGTTCTGTAGTGATTATGGATGTTGAAAGCTAATAATTAAAACAAACCAGAAAATAAGCCTATTCTGGTTTATCTTAGAGTCCAGGAGTAATAACAGACTTTTTTTTTTTTTTTTAAGATTTTATTGGGGCTGGCACTGTGGCATAGTGGGTAGATGCCTGAGTGCCAGCATTTCATTGGTGCCGGTTCAAGACCTGGCTGTTCCACTTCTGATCCACTACTCTGCTGTAGCCTGGGAAAGCAGTAGAAAATGGCCCAAGTCCTTGGGCCCCTGCACCCACATGGGAGACCTTGAAGAAGCTCCTGGCTTCAGATCAGTGCAGCTCTGGCTGTTGTGGCCATCTGGGAAGTGAACCAGTGGATGGAAGACAGACACTTTCTCTCTCTCTTTTTCTCTTTCTCTCTTTCTTTCTTTCTGCCTCTGCCTATCTATAATTTTGCCTTTCAAATAAATAAATTTTTAATAAAAAGATTTTATTTATTTAAGACATACAGTTGCAGACAGAGGGAGAGACAGAGAGAAAGGTCTTCCTTCCACTGGTTCACTCCCCAAAAAGCTGCAATGGCCGGAACTGTACTGATCAGGAGCCAGGAGCTTCCTCCCGGTCTCCCATGCAGGTGCAGGGGCCCAAGCACTGAGTCCATCATCTTCTGTTTTCCCAGGCCATAGCAGAGAGCTGGATTGAAAGCGGAGCAGCAGGGACTAGAACCAACGCCCATATGGGATGCTGGTACTACAGGCAGATGATTAACCTACTATGCCATAGCACCATCCCTAATAACAGACTTTTATGACCTTTTTTTAATTTGAAAAAGCACTTTTATTTATTTATTTTTAAGATTTATGTATAATTTATTCAGAAGGTAGAGTTACAGAGAGGCAAAGGCAGAGAGAGAGGTCTTCCAACCACTAGTTCACTCCCCAGATGGCCACAAAGGCTGGAGCTGTGCCAATCCAAAGTCAGGAGCCAGGAGCTTCTTCCGGATCTCCCACCAGATGCAGGGGCCCAAGGACTTGGGCCATCTTCTACTGCTTGCCCAGGCCATAGCAGAGAGCTGGATCAGAAGTGGAGCAATTAGGACTCAAACTGGTGCCCATATGGGGTGCTGGCACTGCAGGTGGAGGCTTTACCCACTACACCACAGTGCCAGCCCTGAGAAAGCAGTTTTTTTTTTTTTTTTTTTTTTTTTTAAGATTTATTTATTTGAAAGAGTTAGAGAGAGGTGAGGCAGAGAGAGAGAGAGAGAGAGGTCTTCCATCCACTGGTTCACTCCCCAGATGGCACAGTGGCCAGAGCTGTGCCGATCCGAAGCCAGGAGCTTGGAGCTTCTTCCGGGTCTCCCATGCAGGTGCAGGGGCCCAAGGACTTGGGCCATCTTCCATTGCTTTCCTAGGCCATAGCAGAGAGCTGGATTGGAAATGGAGCAGCCGGGACTAGAACCGGCGCCCATATGGGATTCTGGTGCTTCAGGCCAGGGCGTTAACCTGCTGCACCACGGCGCTGGCCCTGAAAGCAATTTTTATATTGTCGAAGTTCACTGGGTTTCCAGGCTATGGGAAGGGAGCAATAACTTGGATAAAGATGTAATAATTCTAGATGTATTAGAGTAGGAAGTGAAAGTTATGTAGGGATGAAGAATACAGAGAAAAATTTTGAGTGGAAAAATTAATATGTACTGTTAATAGCTAATAACTCGGTTTAGGAACATAAAAATATAAGGTGTATAAATTTGGTTTCCTCTTAAAATAATACCTGAGAAAACAAAAAGGAAAAATTGGAGGGCCATTTTGGTTTTTTTCCCAGTACAAAGTTTAATCCTTGAAAAGACAAAAATTGGCCGGCGCTGCGGCTCAATAGGCTAATCCTCTACCTAACGGTGCCGGCACACCGGGTTCTAGTCCCGGTCAGGGCGCCAGATTCTTTCCTGGTTGCCCCTCTTCCAGGCCAGCTCTCTGCTGTGGCCAGGGAAGGCAGTGGAGGATGGCCCAAGTGCTTGGGCCCTGCACCCCATGAGAGACCAGGAGAAGCATCTGGCTCCTGCCTTCGGATCAGCGCAGTGTGCAGGCCACAGCGCGCCAGCCATGGCGGCCATTGGAGGGTGAACCAATGGCAAAAGGAAGATCTCTCTCTCTCTCTCTCCACTCTGCCTGTCAAAAAAAAAAAAAAAAAAAAAGACAAAAATTTTCTGTTGTAGTCAGATACTCTGAACTTCAGTCTTAAGTTTTATTGAAGCCTTTTGGGAAAAGGGGGAATAGGTTTAATAAAGTTTTTGAGAACTGAGCACTTTCTCTTTAAGATCCTGGGACTTGAGTCAGGGCTGAAAATACATAGCTTTTTCTCACTGATTTAGTATAGATAAGGCATATTTGCTTTTTTCCATTAGGTGTAGTGATACCGTAGGCCTTGAGCTTTAGAGAAGATATACCTGGATTTCAAATCCACTTTTATTGTGTAACTTGTTACCTAATCTTGCGTATCTTCAGTTTTGTGTGGTAGAATAGAGAAAATATTGTGAGAGTTGAATGCAATGCAACTAATAGTGTCCCTCACCCCTAACACCTACTAGTTTCCTTCTCCAGGGTTCCCTCTGGGCTCAGACCTTTATTAAATAGTTCCTGTTAGTGGCTTTAGGATGTTCTTCCATAAAAGCAATACTTTATGGACAGTGTAGAACTACACTGGATAATTCTATTCTGGGACTTAGGTTAGAATGAAATACTAATTTGACTATCAGGAAGCTCCTTACTCTACAGGCATTTGATTTTTTTTTTTTAAAGATTTACTTATTTATTTGAAAGTCAGAGTTACACAGAGAGAGGAGAGGCAGAGAAGACAGGTCTTCCATCTGCTGGTTCACTCCCCAATTGGCCACAATGGCCGGAGCTGCACCGATCTGAAGCTAGGAGCCAGGAGCTTCCTCCAGGTCTCCCACATGGGTGCAGGGGCCCAAGGACTTGGGCCACCTTCTACTGCTTTCCCAGGCCACAGCAGAGAGCTGGATTGGAAGTGGAGCAACCGGGACTGAAACTGGTGCCCATATGGGATGCCGGCACTGCAGGTGGCGACTTTACCCAGTATGCCACAGCGCCAGCCCCCTGCATTTGATCCTTAGGTTTAGATAATGTCTAGCATGAGGGCTTCTTGAAAAGAGCAGTAGAAAAGGGAGGATGTCAGAGGCTGCAGGACTCTTTCCCATTTTATACTTTGTAGGTTATTGAAGAGAGGGAAAAACTAAAGAGTGACCGGGAAGCCCGCCAGAAGAAAATGTATTATCTCAGGACTGAGTTGGAGCGGCTTCATAAACAACAAGGTATCAGACAACTCCTTTGCATGACTGCCTTTTTGTAGTAACCTGAGTAGGAGACCCAGATGAAAAGTTTTAGGTTCTCTCAGATAGGTGTTCAGTTACTTTACAATTTTTTTGACAGTATTAAACTTATAGAAAAGTTAAAATAATAGTGCAAAGAATTCTAAGGTGCTCTTCTATAAACATTTTGCTACATTTGCTTGATTCTTACATTTCTCCTTGTGTGTGTATATAATTTTTCCTGAATTCTTTGACAGGTAGTTGTAGATACGAAGTTCCTTTATTCCTAAATGCTTAAGTCTGTATTTCCCAACAATAAAGATTTCTTGTACATAACCATAGCATAAAATGTACAATATAATACTATTATGTAGTCTGTCATATTATTCATATTTTACCAGTTTGCAGAGCTATGTCCTTTATAGCAAAAAAAATGATTATTCATATTCAGTTGTCATGCTCTTTTATCTTCTTTAATCTGTAATAGTTTATGAGTCTTTGTATTTTATAAAATGAACATTTTAGAAGAGGCCACACATTTTGTAGAATGTCTTAATTGTGGTTTGTCTGATACTTTCATTAGATTAAAATTAATATAACTTTTGGCAGAACATCACAAAAGTGATGCTGAGTTCTTCCAAGGTGTTGATTTGGCTCATTACTGTGATGTTAACGGTGATCATGATTGGATTAAGGTGGTATCATCTAGATTTCTCTACCGTAAAGTTACTATTTTATCCTTTTGTTGTTGTTGTTGTTAAAAGATTTTATTTATTTATTTGAGAGGTAGAGTTACAGACAGAGAGAGGGAGAGAAAGAGAAAGGTCTTTCATCCTCTAGTTCACTCACCAGATGGCTGTAGCAGCCAAAGCTGAGCTGATCTGGAGCCAAGAGCCAGGAGCCTCCTCCAGGTCTCTCATGCTGGCACAGGGGCCCAAGCACTTGGGCCATCTTCTACTGCTTTCCCAGGCCTTAGCAGAGAGCTGGATTGGAAAAGGAGCAGCTAGGACTTGAACCAGCACCCATATGGGATTCGGGTGCCACAGGCGGAGGTTTAGCCCACTATGCCACAGTGCTTTCTCTATTTTATACTTTTTAATTAGTAAGTGTCTGCTACCTTGAGACCACGTAAATATTTAGTTACTCTTCAAACTTCCATATTGTAATTTTAGCATCCACTGATGACTCTTGCCTGAATCAGTAATAACTGATATATGGTCATCAAATAGTGATTTTTAATTTCATCATTCCCTCTACTTTTATAATTGGCTTTCTATCACAGAGAGGTACTTCATAGTCTTACTCCCATTTATTCGTTTGTATCAGTGTGAATTAATGGATTCTTTATTCAGTAAATTCTAATCTCTTATTATTACTGATTTTCATGCTCCAATTATCCCATATTTGGCCAGTGGGAGCCCCTTTGAGTTGACTGCTGTTTCCTTTTGATATGTTCTCATCCTTTCTTTTGAATCCAAAAAGATGTTTCATGATGCCTTTTTATTCCATCTCTTTATACTTCTGGGAATTCACATACACATGAGGAAAGAACATAACAAAACTATGTACAGTAGCTAATGGTAGTATAAAAGAACAAAGAGGAGCCAGCGCTGTGGCATAGGAGGTAAAGCTGCTGCCTTCAGTGCCGGCATCCCATATGGGCACCAGTTTGAGTTCCGGCTGCTCCACTTCCAATCCAGCTCCCTGCTAATGTGCCTGGGAAAGCAGGGAGATGGCCCAAGTCCTTGGGCCCCTGCCCTCCTGTGGGAGACCTGGAAGAAACTTATGGCTCCTGGCTTCAGATCGGCCCATCTCTGGCTGTTGCGGACATTTGTAAAGTGAACCAGTGAATGGAAAATCTCTCTCTCTGCCTCTGCATTTCTGTAACTCTGCCTTTCAAATAAATAAATTAAAAAAAAAAAAAAACAAAGAAGGAGAAGATATAATTGCTTCATTCTAGATCTGGACTATTTAGGGATGAGAAACTTACTTATCCTGTGAGAATGAATCCATGGGGACCTGCAGTTTGGAACAGGAGATAACATTAGGCCAACATGAGGCAAAACCTAAAACTCAGTGGAAAGTTGATAGGGTATGCTTAAATCAGGTAAAGTCAAATAGGTGACTGAATATTTTTTTTTAAGATTTATTTACTTATTTGGCAGAGTTAACAGAGGGAGGGAGGGGGGAGGAGAGGAGGCGAGGGAGAGAGAGAGAGAGAATGAGAGAGAATATCTTCCATCCGCTGGTTCACTCTTCAGATAGCTGCAATAGCCGGGGCTGGGCCAGGCTGAAGCTAGGATCCAGGAGCTTTTTCCAGGTCTCCCACGTGGGTGCAGGGACCCAGGCACTTGGGCCATCTTCTGCTGCTTTTCCCAGGCTATTAACAGGGAGCTAGATCGGAAATGGAGCTGCTGGGACTCAAACTGTGTCTACATGGTTTGCCAGTGTTGGAGGTGGCAGCTTTACCTGCTAAACCACAGTGCCGCCCCTGAATGTTTTTCTTTTTTTACCCTCTGAATCCTTCTTTGTCTCTCTGAAGAGAAGATATTTGTTGGATTCATAGTTATAGTACTTACAAACATTTTTAGAGGACACATGCACACAAACTTATAGACCTTTCTGTCTATAGGTCCTTAGCCAGTTACCTTCCACAAAAGATAATGTCATCATCCAACACTTGCCTTAATGGAATCTTCAGCTGAATCAGCCCATGTGGAAGGAAAGTGGGAATAGATACGGTAACCACAACTCTCTGACAGATTACACTTTCAAGTGAAAAGTGACTTGTCCTGACTTATTTTGTCTGTGTTTCTTTTTGTTGTTGAAATTTGGCTATCCAGGGGAAATGCTTCGTAAGAAACGAAGGGAAAAAGATGGCCACAAAGACCCACTTCTGGTGGAGGTGAGTCGGCTTCAGGATAACATCATGAAGGACATTGCAGAGCTGCGGCAAGAGGCAGAAGAGGCAGAAAAGAAGCAATCTGAGCTGGACAAAGTGGCTCAGATCTTAGGAATTAACATCTTGGAAAAATCTCAGAAGTCTTCAAATGACAGTAAAGAGACTTCAGAGAAGCCTGGGAAAGCAGAAAAATCTAAGAGCCCAGAAAAGGTGTCATCCTCAAACTCTTACTCCAACAACAAGGTAACAGCTCAACTTTTCCATTTTTAATTTCTGCCCTCTTCCTCCACCTACAGAAGCTTTCTTTTTTTTTTTTTTTTTTTTTTTTTTGACAGGCAGAGTGGACAGTGAGAGAGAGAGACAGAGAGAAAGGTCTTCCTTTTTGCTGTTGGTTCACCCTCCAATGGCTGCCGCGGTCGGCGCACCGCGCTGATCCGATGGCAGGAGCCAGGAGCCAGGTGCTTTTCCTGGTCTCCCATGGGGTGCAGGGCCCAAGCACCTGGGCCATCCTCCACTGCACTCCCTGGCCACAGCAGAGAGCTGGCCTGGAAGAGGGGCAACTGGGACAGAATCCGGCGCCCTGACCGGGACTAGAACCCGGTGTGCCGGCGCCGCTAGGCGGAGGATTAGCCTAGTGAGCCGCGGCGCCGGCCTGCTACAGAAGCTTTCTAACCATTTTCTTAACTACCTACTCTTGTTAGTTTTTTTTTTTTTTTTTTTTCCATAGATCAGATCATGGTACTCTCTTTCAGAATTTTAGTACTTTATTGTTGCCCACAAAGTGGAATCTAAAATCCTCAATGGTCAGGGCTTTCCATGTTCATGTTCTAACATTTGCTCCTTGATCCACTCTAGTTTGGCCTATTTTCTTTTCACAACTTTCCCATACCATTTTGGGAGCTCATATTCAGCAACTATGTTCATGTTTAGGTTACAAATGCTTTCTTCTCTTGGTTTCTATGCACTTCTTTTCCTTCTAGTACCCTGGCTGCTGTACTAGTGTACTGGTTGCTGCTGCTGCTGAGTCTTCTGTGTCAATCCTCTCATATATGATCTTTAAATATTTGAGTTTCTCAGTGTTCAGTCCTAGCCCAGTTCTCCAGAATTCTGTTCTTTCTGTGAAGGCTATTTTCATCCAGTTCTGGGCTGAAATACTATGTGACAACTTCATTTTAAATTCTGACTCAAGTGATTCTTCTGAGTATCTAACAGCTTTTCCATTTCACTATCTTGTGGGCACCTCAAGTTCGGCATATTTCAAAGTGATTGTTTTCAATCTTTCTCCAACTTTTTCTTTCTCTAGTGTTACTCATTATCAGTGAATGTCACCACTGACCAACAGTTTTCTTTTTTTAAAGATTTATTTTATTTATTTGAAAGGCAGAGTTACAGAGAAAGGTCGAGACAGAGAGAGAGGTCTTTCATCCACTGATTCACTCCTGGGTAGTCTCAACGGCCAGAGCTGGGCCAATCCAGAGCCAGGAGATAGGAGCTTCTTCCAGGTCTCCCACATGTAGGGGCCCAAGGAATTGGGCTGTTCTCTTCTGCTTTCATAGACATGTTAACAGGGAGCTAGATTGGAAGTAGAGCAGCTGGGACTTGAACCAGCGCCCATATGGGATGCCGGCACTGCAGGCCAGGGCTTTAACCCACTGTGCTACAGCACCAGCCCCCAACAGTTTCCATACTAACAACCTAGGTGTTTCCCTTTCCCTAACTGCTACATGCCTAATCAGTTATGGATTCTATCATCATTTCCTCCAAAGTAAATCTCAATTTCATCCACCTTACCATCTCTTTTGCCTTTTTTTTTTTTTTGAGATTTATTTTATTTATTTGAAAGGTAGAGTGACAAAGGGGGAGAGAGGAAGATTGATCTTCCATCCATTGGTTCGCTCTCCAAATGGCTGCAACAGCCAGGGCTGGAGTAGTTCAAAGCCAGGAGCCTGGAATTCTGTCTGTGTCTCCTAAGTGGGTAGCAGGGCCCCAAGCACCTGTGTCATCTTCCACTGCTTTCTCAGGCTCACTGGCAGGGAGCTAGATTGGAAGTAGAGCAGCTGGGACTCAAGCCAGTGTTCATAAGGGATGTTGTCATCTAAGTGGAAGCCTAACCCACTGTGTCATGCTAGCTCCTCAGTTGCCTTTAAAAGGCCAAGTCATTTCAATACTTTCGATCCTTGTTAGTTCCGCTACATTCTTTACATACACACACACACACACACACACACACACACATATATATATATTTTTTTTAATTTACTGGAGAGGGAGAGAGAAAAAGAGCTCCCATCTTCCTGTTCAATCCCCAATTGCCCACAATGGCTAGAGCTGGACTAGGCCAAAGCTCCAAACTGGGAACTCAGTCCAAGCCTCCCAGTAGTAGACCCAGCTGCCTGAGCCATCAACTGCTGCCTCCTGGTGTTCACAGCAGGAGAAAGCTTAAATCAGAAGTGGAGCCAGAAATTGAATCCAGGTATTCCAATATGGGGCGCAGGCTTCCTAATCAGAGTTAATTTTTTTTTTTTTAAAGATGTATTGATTGATTTGAAATACAGAGCTACGGAGAGGCAGAGGCAGAGAGAGAGGGTGGTGGGGGAGGTCTTTCATCTGCTGGTTCACTCCTCAAATGGCTGCAACAGGCAGAGCTGGGCCGATGCAAAGCTAGGAGCCAGGAGCTTCCTCTAGGTCTCCCACACGGGTGCAGGGGCCTAAGGACTTGGGCCATGTTCTACTGCTTTCCCAGGCCACAGCAGAGTACTAGATCGGAAGTTGGGCAGCTGACACTCAAATTGGTGCCCATATGGGATGCCAGCAGTGCAGGTGGCAGCTTTACCTGCTACGCCACAGCACCGGCCCCCAGAGTTAAGTCTTAACCACTAGGCAAAAATGCCTGTCCCCTGCTACATTCTTAATTCTTTCTGCACATAACAGCCAGTGATCATTGTACTTCTTCCTTCCCTACCTCTTCAGCCTTCTTTCATGTCCATTTCCCCCTTGCTTACTCTAATTTTTTTCCCTCAAATATATCATCCTAATGCCTTTGCATGTTTTTTTCCCTTTTCTTTACCATGAAAGCCTAACTTTCCTTATCCTGTTTCTCTTCCCTGGTTTCTTAGACTTAAATTTGCCTGGTATACACTCTCACAGTACCTTGTCATTTTCTTTAGCAGTTTTAACAGTTGGCAATTATATCATTACATGTGTTCCCCCAATTAGATTTTAAAGTTCAAGGATTAGGGGCTGTACTGTCTCATTTTCCAGTATAGCATCCAATACATAGCTCAGTACCTAGCACATGGTAATTAGTAACACTTAAGAAATATTATACAGGGTCCTGCCACCCACATAGAAGACCAGGAATGGAGTTCCTGGCCCCTGACTTTGGCTTGGCCCATTGTTGTGTCCATTTGGGGAGTGAACCAAATGGAAGATCTCGATCTCTCTCCCTTTCTCTCTCCCTTTCTCTCTCTCTCTCAGTCTCTCTCACTCTATTGCTGTCTCTTTCCTCTCTCCTCCTTCACCCTCTCCTTTATTCTCTCCCTTTATCCTCCTCTCTGACACCCTGCCTTTCAAATAAATAAATCTTTTTTTAAAAAATTTATACAATAGCTTACCCTCCTACTACCTCAAGATGCTCAGTTTTTCAGATATATAATATGCTATTATACCTTTCTAGTTTTACATTATTAATCCTCTTAGATTATCTGGAATCTGTCTTTCTAGAATAATTATTCCTATAGAATATTCTTTCTCCCAGCTCCACTCATCCATAAGGCTCAACTTTAATACCACCTCCTCTATAAAGAGTTGTCAGAATTTTACTCAGATTTAGCCTTTCTTTAGCACTCCCATCATATATTTGTTTCTTTTATTCTGTATTATTTAAATACTTTTCTGATTTGTCTCTTTCACTAAATGAGAGATACTTCAGGACACAAGAATATCACTTGTTTATCTTTGTGTTTCTCAATGGCATCTAGTATTTGTAATATAGGGAAGATGCTTAGTTAATGTTGGGGAGTGAGAGAGAAGGTAATTCTGCATTATCTACCAATAAGGTTCTGATTTCTCTCCTATCTGGGAGTGGGGTTCTCTTTCTCAACCAAGTGGGATGGTAGTTTTTTTTTTTTAATTTGTTTTTTAATTATTATTTATTTGAGAGTCAGACAAACATAGAGAGCTCCCATCTACTGATTTATTCTGCAGATTATCTGCAACAGCCAGGACAATCAGGCCAAAGCTAGGAGCTAAGAACTCAATCCAGGTCTGCCACATGGGTGGCAGGAGCCCAATTACTTAAGCTGTCACTACTGCCTCCCAGAGTCTATAGTGTCAGGAAACCTGACTCAGGAGCTAGCTTATGGTGTCAAACCCACACACCTTCATGTGGGCATGAATATCTTTTTTTTTTTTTTTTAATTATTTTGACAGGTAGAATTAGAGAGAGAGAGACAGAGAGAAAGGTTTTCCTTCCGTTGGTTCACCCCCCAAATGGCCACCATGGCCGGCACTGTGCCAATCCGAAGCCAAGAGCCAGGTGCTTTTTCCTGGTCTCCCATGTGGGTACAGGGGCCCAAGCACTTGGGCCATCCTCCACTGCACTCCTGGGCCCCAGCAGAGAGCTGGACTGGAAGAGGAGAAACGAAGACTAGAACTCGGCACCCATTTGGGATGCTGATGCCGCAGGTAGAGGATTAACCAAGTGAGCCGCTGCGCCGGCCCCAGGCATGAGCATTTTAACCTGTGTCCTAGCCACTAAACTAAATTCCCACCATGTTTTCTTTCCTTTTTTTTTTTTTTTTTTTTGTTTTTTAAAAATTTATTTATTTGAAAGGCACAGTTATGGAAAAGCAGAAGCAGAGAGACAGAGAGGTCTTCCATCTGTTGGTTCACTTCCCAGATGGCTGCAATTGTCAGAGCTGCACCAATCCAAAGCCAAGAGCCAGGTCCCCCACATGGATTCAGGGGCCCAGGGACTTGTGCCATCTTCTACTGCTTTCCCATGCCACAGCAGAGAGCTGGATTGGAAGTGGATCAGCCAGGACTCCAACCAGCGCCCATATGGGATGCTGGCACTGCAGGCAGCAGCTTTACCCACTATGCCACAGCACCAGCCCCTGTATTTTCTGAAAATGTGTTTATATGAGAGGCAGAGTCACAGATATAAGAGAGAGAGATTCCATCTTCTGGTTTACTCCGTGAAAGCTAGGAGCCAGGAAATCAATCCAAGTCTTACATGACTA